TAGTGACTTACTACATAGACATCATAAGTCAAGATTGAAGAGACTGCGATGAGTTCCGCACTCGTGGCACTAGTCACAGCCAAAAAGAGGAGCACAAGCAGTGCGGCTGCACCCGATTGCCCAAGCAACGCCGCCGCAGCTACTGAAGCTGGAAGACCCTCTGATATGGCAGCCTGCGAGAGCGGCGCAAGTAAGGGAGTGAAATTGCTTGATAGTGGATCTTGTGATGAAGAGTTTGCAGCTGGCACCGCAGAAAGAGCCACAGCAGCAAGCCCGAGCGTCGTTGAGAACGCAAAGGGGATAGCAAACCTTATCCTCGATCAGAATCTCTGGTATATGCTGACAAGAACGTGCAGACTGACCATGCTACGCCACCAATGAGGTACGCCTTAACTGTGGTGGAAGGTCTGCTAGCAATAGCGCGTTGCCAGTATGCTTGATCTTGGAAGACAGTTGCGAAGTTTCCAATGAGGTTGATAACACCGAAAATGAGACCATTTTCGGAGCGGAGAGTGAGGTATGAGCCACCAGCATTACCCACTACAGGCGTGACCTGGGACACTTCAGAAAGTAGATAGTGCATGTGTCTGATGGAGCCAATGGATCCCGAGGTTGCGTACACGGTAAACGCAAATGTCAAGATAATGGCGAATAGGACGGTTGTATGTGTGCTGAGAATGATATCATGAGTTAGGGTACATCGATATAATATAACATCCACGTACTAATCGCAAAGCAGTGTGGAACGCATTCCACCAACGACAACATAGATGGAAACACCCAATGGGATGAGGAAACACGCAGCAATTGTACTCATCCCAGTCAAGTCTGTCACAGTAGCCGAACCACCCAGGACAAGCATTGAAGACACGATCAAGTTTGTCGCAAGACCGAAAAACATGAAAATGAGATGTGCCGCGGTTCCCCACCGCGCTCCAACAATTTCAAGCCAAGTGTGTGCGTACGGTGCATTGAGTTTTAACTTTGCAGCGAGCTGAGCGAACAAGAGGACCTGTACGGTCGCACCTGCCGCATACCACCATGGTCCCGAGATGCCATATCTGTAGGCAACCGCACTAGATTGGAGCTGACCATAAATCCCCCGGCTAAGCCACACGTTGATACAGGTATCGGATATCGACATACCAGTGTCGCTGCCCATGTCCAAGCAGACACGATGCCAGATGCAATGAGCCCAGGCTTCACTGAACGCGAAGCGGACGAAAACTCCTCGGAATTTTTGGGCGAGAAACCTGTGTAGCGTGCCTGTATCGCCGTCAAACCCACCATGAAAGCACTGAAGAACAGCCCAATCCCTAGAAGTACTTGTTCAGCAACTGGCAGATGTCGGATTACAACTTGGTGCCTTACCGACGACTGACCAGATTACGGGATATCAACTGAAGTTCAATGCAGGAAATAAAATCAGCTCACCGACTCCATAGCCTGCGCCTTGGGGAAGAACTTCGCCTGACGACATTAATGAGCAAAAGCGACCGGAATGAAGCCAGACTTCATATTGGTTAACTTATATATCGCCTAGAGGCTCTTATCACAGGATGCAGTGCAGTTACTACATAATTCACACCACAGCCGCCGAGGTACAGTCTGTTATGTCACAACTTTGATAAGGCTGGAGCTCTACACAGATTCATCCCACCCTCCCCAGCCTACCACAAATGACACATTAGAAATGATTGGGAGCACTGTGCCAGACAAGCTGGCGAAGTTGCGACTGGATACATTCCTACCCTCACTGCTCGAGACAACAGGATTACTATATCTTTGCCACCGGAGCCAACATCTGACAAGACCTGTCAACTGGGAGGTGGGAAAACTGTGCCAAGAGAAGGCTAAATCTAAGGAGAGACAAAAAACTGCGCAGGGAAACAAGGTGACCATTCTTAAGTTTAAGCGCTCAGAGGAGATACTTCACAATAAGCCGATCCAACTAGCTGAAGTAGTCTCCCATAGTCAGATATTGCAAGAAGGAAGACAGTGGTGAGACTGTAGCGTGCTCGGTGGTGAGAAAGGGAGGGTAGCCCCGAATACCACTGGCAGTAGCCCGAAGTACAACCTACCCTTCTTTTACAAACAATGATGAGGCTTGAGATTGGAAGAACTTTAGACGTTGTGTTCCTTTGGAAAGAAATACAGAGCTCCAAGGATCCGAGAACTTGCTGGCGTTGTGTAGTCAAATGTGCGCGTAACTTAGTAAGTCGTGGTTGTAGGGCTTTCATATAATGATGAACATCCAAAGTAGCAAGGGAGATGGTAGTAATGATTCGATGATGAAACTCATAGTTGGATGAGTTTAACGATAGCATGCAGGCAGAACGATAATTAATCCCAGTGAAAATCAACAAGAAAGATACTGATAAGTAGCGTAGAGGTCGAATAAACTTGAGGCTGTGCATTGACTTGTTCCCGAAAAAACCGGCACTTTTCGAGATGAAAAAGCTAGAAATTGAGAGGCGTCTGTATAGGATTCTCGTTGCGTTTAGATGTTTAGATGGGCTGAAAATCAATCCATTTGGCCTGGAAAATGACATATATACAGCTACATAATGCGATAAAATAAGCTATCAGTATCGCTGTATTACAGAGTCTATACATGCACTAGTACTTGCCCCCTGTCATCCCGCTCGCCAGTTTAGGCACAGTGAAAACAGAGAGAAACCCATAGCGTACTACAAACTGTAGCTAGTCTTTATATGCTGTAACGAATATGCCGATTTTACCGAGTTTACTAAGTGTCGAGCTCGCGCCGGTACACTTCAATCGCCGAAATTCAACACCCTTTAGCTCCTCCCGCAGCCTATCCTTTGTACACAGCTATACAGAATCTACAAGAGGATCGTGCTCTTCTTCTTCTTCAGGACTTCGGTAAGGGCAGGCGTGTTGACTCGTTAGGCAAGGGCGGCAATGTCACATGTCAAGATTCTGGCACATTCCATCATGCATGGCTCCGCTGGCACGGGGATCCTGCTTCGCATTGTCGGTACAGATAGATCTCGCTTGGTACGTGGTGGAGGCATACTAGCCACAGCCGGCTCGGATAGGGAGGAGACGAAAGAAGTGAAGTGACTGCGGCCACCGATAGGCAAGTCGGGAATGTAGCAGGGAAAAGACTCAACTTGACTACCGTATTTAGAGTATAAGCAACGACAAATCGGTGTGCGAGTTGAGTGCCAACGTAGTACTAGCAAAGCGGATGAACTTCATAAGATAGATGCAGGTCGGTTCGGTTCGGGGTTCGGCGTCTGCCTAGGGTCGCGCATTAGAGAAATGTATATGGACTATGGGATAGACATACAGCACTGAGGGGCGTAGGATCGGTGTAAGGTGACTCATAGGTATACGAGGCCCGGTGAAACTCAGTGCGGTCGCCATCAGGATTACAAGATAACGTGCCAACGCACTGGTACTACCACACCCCGATGAACGAAAAGAGCTGCACCTCCACGGAACGAAAGAACATCCAAAGTGATACCAGTCCGTCAGCTGTGAATATGCATTGCAGAGAACAGGTCGTTTGAAGACACCACTGACAACAGCATATTGGGAGGGAGAAGAGTTGATGGATTGGTCAACACAAGACCGACACGCACCAGATGCATGAGTGACACTGTGAGACTGTAGGAGAGTGGCGGGCGGCGGGTTGTAATACTGTCGTCGATGGACATTGCGGTGGTTTGGTACATAGATGTAATATGGTGCAAACGAAGGTGCAACGCATGTTACACTACTATGTAACATTACGTTTTTCAAATGATGCACGCAAAATGTGCAAGTCTCGTTAGCAAAAATCCGCTGCAGGTTGCACACCGAGCCAGTTGTTCAATCTGAGATGTGATGGTTTTAGGAAAGATTGATGTTTTTCCCTTACCAGGTTGGTAGACTGGATGAGAAGAGGGTCAGTTGCTCCTAATCTGTCATACATGTACGGGTTGGGGTATCTATTACCAGTATACACATTGCCGAAGGATTATTAATTCATTGATGACAGAGTCCTGTCAGTTGGCCCTTGATAGATGTTGAAGCAAGGCTGACTGGAGTCACGCTTCACTTGCTGGGCGTGTGCAGCGATAGTCGCAACTGCTGGGAACAGGAGTGCGGTAAAGCCAGCGAATATTTTGGTCTACGCGTACTCGGCGGAATAGTCTGCGAGTTGTTAGCATCGTTATTTCAACTTCATTGCCTTTCTTGCACCTTCGCTAGTATCGCTACCATAGGCTATATATTGAGTTTCCGTAAGTCTCAGGCGCGTGCTTCCGAAGTAAGACCAACTCAGGTTTACAGGGAACCCGTGAACAAACGGGTGAAGTATACAAAACAATAGATACGCTAGGTAAACCGACGAAATAAGGTTCAACGTTCAGCCACAACTGTACAGTAGCGTCGAGCTCGTCATGTGACCACGAACTCCAACACTATATGCTTCGTCCGCTTACCAGTGACCACACGCTGATTGATCTGAGATCTGATAGATTTGATCTTCAGACCCCCTTACCTCGAGTTACCTAACTGTTGCTGATAGAGTTTTATCGTACTCCAGATTGTGGCCGAGTCGGTATATGACTCATGATGGTCACCAAATACTGATCCACGGCTGCACTGCCCACAGTGCCCGCCCGCCAACAGTTTTGATTTACATAGTCCATCTACTCTACCTTCAACTCAGCTTGTGATTTATATACTTTTCCCCTTTGTCTGAATAGATTCCGTACACTTATATCTATGATAGTATACTTATGTGGTACTTGCGTTTAATGACCCAGTCCTCGGTCACGAACTCGAGAATCGCCGTCTGGCGCCGGCAATAGTTTTTGACACGGTTGCATAAGAGTTGTAGAAGAAGGGGCCAAGTCTTGCGTTCGCGATGTGTCTGTGTTGGTCTCTCGTACGATGGTAGTCAGACACTGTCATTCCTTACGTTTGCGACAGTGAACACAATCCCGGTGAGTGGCAATCAATGACGATCAGACTCACCATTGCACGGCTGGATGGCCGAGTGGTCTAAGGCGCTAGAATCAGGATCTAGTCCGAAAGGGCGCGTGTTCGAATCACGCTCCAGTCATAAATTTTTTCGCGCCCTTTCAGTTCTTGCATTCAGCCCTCTTCGTTCTGATTTCCCACCTCCATCTTATCTGCAATCACCAAGTAATGACCTTGCTCCGCAAGGTTTATTCCGCTGTCGGGAATCATCGGGATGACACCTCACTCTACTTTAGCATGAACGTACAGCAGCCTACAACTTGAACTGTAGCAACACGAGCGTTGTATGACTCTTCTGTAGGTGAAAAATATTCTCGCTAGGTCTTGCCGTCTCGCTTCGCAAGGTATATACATATATTAATACATTTTTGTCCTGTTGAGTATACTCTATGTAGGACATTGCATTCTAGTTTAAGGGACCTCTGTCCCTGCCATAACTCCAGATGCTCAAATGCCCTGACAACGGTGTAAGCCCCCATCAGTCCGCCGTTTCCGTTGGGCCTTTTAGATGAGGTATTATTTATTGGCAGCGACCAATTCTATGCCTTATCTGATAAGCCTGCCGTCAGCTGAGCTCTCTTCAAGTGGTGAGGGTATCGAACTTCGCAAGCTTGTACAAATTTAGTACGGACATGGCACTCAATGCGATTGATTCGCATCTAAGATAGGCCTCACTCATACACCGGTTCATCACGTGACTTGGCGTGACATTTCGTTGAATTTGCCTCTAACTAGTCGTAAAGGAAGTCTGAGTGAAATCTGTTCTATGATTCTGTGCGCTGAGTCTGTAGCGAGATGTCCATGTAATTTTTATGATCTAATTTGCTTTGAGTGACGAGTTAGCATTATAGTGATTGCGAAGTACAAATGTCCGAAGTGAGATGTATTCCGACGGCAACTCCCGTGCGGTCACGCCCCACACGGGACCGTCTTTTCGACGCGAGTAGTAATTGACGCCCATTAGCGTGACAGACGCATTAGACTGGGACGCATCTTGATCGATATAAAAATTACACTTTGCTACGCCAAAGAAGAGATCCTCACACATAGCGAATCTTCAGGGCCCATGCTCTGCTGCCACTGGTCAGAAACGAAGGAAGCTCGGTGAGCGGAAGGACAATGTAATGAATGATTTAATAACTCACACTTCTTGTTGCTAAACGCGCTGGTTGCAGGTGGTGCCTTTCCTTGGATCATACCCAACGAATCCCCTTCTCTGTCACTCAAGAACAAGAGTTGTTCCCGGGCCAACCGTGGTTGAGGAATCTCACAGTCAACAGGCTACTATAGAAGATGAAGATGAAACAGATGAAGAGCAAGAGGAAGATGAGGAAGTCATGGAGGATAACTTGCCTTGGACACATTCACCATTCACAGCCGGACAATATACTCCTCCCCCAACCCTGGAAGAGGCCGCTACTGCACTAGAGAACCTTAAGTTACTCATTCAACCACGCCGACCATCATGTATTGGACACAAGGACTCAAAACCCGATCTTTTGCTGCGAAGCCGGCTCGAAAAGATGCGGATGTTCTTGTGGAACTACGCGAAGCCGATTGGTGCCAAATGGTGGCAGGCGGCATCACTGATGACTGCAGATTCATATGGAAAGTCAACCTGGTTAGCAGGCCGTCTCCGCCAAAAGAGGCTGACCCCGAGTGCGATGTTCTTGCTGCCCTGGAGTCTGTTCCGCTTGATGCTATTCGTCGGTACTAAGCTTCTTTGGCTTGATTTCATGATCACTCCTAATCTTGATCCCTCGGCCCAGATTCTCCATGCGCTCACTCAGGTTTATGGATGTATACCGCAAGGGGCTCAATGGGAAACAGGCAGCGAAGCAATGTCGAGGTCATTGAGTGCTTCCAGAGACCATAATGGCCGAGCTGGAAACTGCAAATTTAATCTGACCACCACATACTACCCTTGGTACATAATAATGTTGATTGTATCACCGCCTGGTTCTACTACTACTAATTGCCATCAAACATTTGTCAAGACGTCAAATTGTTCTAACAAGTGTCTGTTTCATTTGCCTGCCGTTTGTCACAGGTGGTCACATTGGTCACAAATGAATCACAATGGTACATTCACTATGAAAAGGCTAACTCCTCCTTCACTTGGCCAAAATTGAAGATTCTGAGTAGACTGTTTTAATATTCTAGTACATACCCATAGAATTATAAACTGATTTTGCTGCATCCGATCTGAAGGAGAGTTACAAGCCAAGAGGTTATGTTTTGACCTACAATCACGTGATGAATCGGTGTATGAGTGAGGCCTATCTTATTAGTAAGCTGTACTCGACGTACTGATAACCAATATTAACAACACATGCGATGATCATGTCCAAGTCGAGCTCTTGTGGTGATAAGTATATCGCGATACGAGTGAAAACACGATCTATTCGACGCTCCTTTACTTGTTCTAAATTATTCGTACTTATACTATAAGTACTACGCTAATAGAAATAACCGGTCCGTTATATACTGTGCATGATAACTTGTAATAGTAGTCCGTGGTCCGTCTTACAAACCATTACTGAGCGGAAGCTCCGATTTGCGCTCACATCTTATCTCAATGTTAGTTCCAATTCCAACAGCTTTGCTTACCCGGGCACTATTATTGGTTTCCGGGATGATTAAAGTTAAATCAAGTGGTGCAATCTAGCCTTACTACCACCATGGCCCCACCATCCTATACCATCATTGGGACGCCATTCAGCACCTTCACGCGATCAATTACTCTTGCCCTAAATTACAAGGGATTACCCTTCAATCAAGTTAGATGTGTTCCACACTCGGACACGGCCTATGACAACCATCCGTTCGGGTTTCTGCCCACATTAATCATCCATGAGATTGATGGCAAGCGGGTCGACCTGAAGTTGAGGGAGAGCATGGCAATTGCGTGCTTCATTGATAGGGTCGCCCCAGAACCTAGCCTGCTCATCTCTGCAGGGCAAGGGAAGGCACTCGTCGAGGAACAAATGTGGGAGTTTGTTAGTCTAGTCGGTGCACATGGTAAACTTATAAATCTCAGTGAGATAAGATGACCGTGACTGATTTCATGCTGTAGGCTTCTCTGTCGTTGAGGCAGGGGTTGTGAAACCCCGCATAGCTGCCAACGACGAAGGAAAACTCACCGACACTGAGATACGCAAACAAATCCAACCAGCTGTGGATCATCTTAGGAAATTGCTACATAAAATGGAAGAACTGATGGCGGACGATGGCTACGTGTTCGGAAGTAAACTGAGTTGGGCGGACTTCTTTTTGTTCCCGCTTCTTGCGGACCTGAAAGCAATCCCGGAGGGCGATTTGCTTTCGCCCAGGTTGTTGAGATGGATGGAGAACATGAACAAGTTGGAGGCAGTTCAGGCTACCACTCATGGAACCTTGAGTGTTGGTGCCAGACCTCCATAATCGCCCACTTAACATCAGGCATGGTGTAACTTTCTTTGCCAATCATTCGTCATATTGACTCAGAGACTCAGAGACTGGGAATTTGTGCCCTTTCTGTGCTGGGCAGTCCTTCCTCAGTAGGAAGACACCAAGGTTCCCAATACCTGGGCCATTCTTTCGATCTAAACCATCCAAGTAAACATGTTCATTGCTGTAATATAAGCTTGTTTGCATAAGCCGGGAACTTCATGCACCGTAATATTGAATGCATAACATGGTATACATATTGCAAACTTTAACCAATGCTTAACCAAGGCCTCTCAATTGGCGTTCATGTGCTGTCGCTCACAAGCCACTCGCTGCCTCTGCGGTTGCACTAGCAAGAAGTGACTTCAAAGGGAAAATTACCTGAGTCAGCGAGTTAGGCGAAGAGCCCATCTGCGAAACTTCTTCCCCGTCAAACACTAAACCATCCTCATACGATATACTACAGCTTCAACACGAAGGTTCTTGTGCTATACATGGCAGTCTGTGCGTTATGTGCGTTGTCTCAATTTCAAACCGTACTGTTTACCCAGTATTTCTAGCAACGGAAAACCAGTCATACTAGTAGCCATACTATGGTATTTACCATATTCGAATATTCAATAGGCGAGGCATGTATTCACCCATCACAGCAAGGATAACTTCTTGGGCTATCCAACTACTCATCCGAGTTTGTACCAACTGCGACATAGTCCAGTTTCTCTCTCAGTACGTGAAACTCTCTCGCTTTACGCGCTCCGGGTCCACACCAGCTGCTTGAAGTGACTTCATAGCATTACGGACAAAAGGCAACGGGCCGCAGATATGCGGTTCACGAGACTTTGCATCTACACTGCCAAAAAATGTTCCACTGTCATCAAGGCGTCCGTCGTGCTTGATCAGCGAGACGAAAGGCGGAAAAGACCAAGGCAACTGGAATTTTCTTGGAGAGAAAACATGAATGAAGAACACGATGTCAGCGGGTGACTGGCGAACGCCGACGTCGCCGGGTGACAGGTCCACAAATGTGTCTTGGATCAAGCCAAGCATGACTTCTGGCTCCCGCGTCGAAAGGACGAGGATCACATCCCAAACACCATATCCCCGAGCAGTTAGGCTTGCCACGTAATGTGTCAAACTCAAGAAAGGAGTCAATCCGATTCCACCAGCAATCCACAACAGCCGTCGTCCACCGTCGCATGCTGCAATAGGCTCCGGAACAGGAAGATCGCCCCCGATACCTCGCAGTCGAGCGCAGATATCCATTTCTATAACGTCAATACTTTCTCCAGTCAGCTGTGGATCAGCATTTCCAGCAAGCCGGTGTAAAATTGGAGTGACGAGACCGCCATTAATCGCCCTCATTGTAACAGAAAAAATGCAAGGCGCATCTGAAGTTGGCAGTGTGGAGACCGTCCAAGTGCGAACACAATCATCGTTAATTGTGCTTCCATCTTCCTCCCAGTCTAACAGTACGTGTGAGCGTTCGCGTAGGAATTCTGATAAATCCAGCACGCAGTTTTGGTTTGGACGGATATCCACAGGTTGTGACGTCATGAAAATGAGTGTCGCGAGTGTTTCATTTAGCACTCGCGTCCTTATCAACCTAACTGTAACATCCGTGAACGATATAGATGGTGGATTTTCTTCCGTTAG